TTTCTGGTGATTAATGCCATTGAAGAATTTTGATGACTCAACCTCTACAGTTACCAACTCTGCAAATTTTAGCCATCATTTCTCATCCATCAGCTTCATATTATATTTAGATCTGTTGAAGTAAATTTCCTCATCTTTTTCTCTTATTTGCCACTTTTTTCAACATTTTTATACCTAAAAGTTTATGGTCACTACTTGTTATCAATTTGATGTCATCTAAGAAATATGATGTAATTTTATCACTCCATCAGTGTGACATCCAAATTGCGTCAATTCTACTTTTCTCGTTTGAATTATTTCTTTTCCATGTATACCCTATGTTTTCTGGAAACATTATTCTATAGCAATCAATTAAATCATGGCTACTTAGCAGCAGGAAGATTTCACTTTCTGGAAATTGTGAGTGACTATTGTTATTTCGATCTATTGCAAGTGATGGTACTGCATTAAAATCACCCATCACGATAACTTTTTTCTTTTTCTTTTGAGTTTTATTTAATTGAATTTTAATTTAGTTAATTACATTAACTTTGTCACTTTTTTTACTTGGTAAATAAATTTGCATTACGCAGACTGTCATTTTTCTTGGAAGAACTAGATCTACGCAAATTGCTCTACCCTCATATTCTCTTTTTTTACACACGTACTTATTCAGTGTTTTTGAAATTATTAAGGCTACTCCAGTTCCTTTTCCGTTACCCGAACAGTGGATACGAAATTTATCCTTATTGTCTTTATACCATTGCCCCTTGCTTTCACCACAATTTGTTTCTGCTATACCCATTATGTCGAATTGTTCATTTTTGATATAATTAAAGAAAAGATTTTGTTTAACTGTATCATTGAATCCTCGTACGTTATGCGTAACTATCTTAAAATCTGAATTACTTATTATTTCACTACTATTATGTGTTAAGTTTATATCTAAATCTAACTTATTATTATTAATATTTATATTTTGATTATTTTCTATTGTATTATTATTTATATTTATATTATTATTATTTATATTATTATTATTATTGTCCATCATATTTGTTAAGATTAATATATAAAAATTGTCTATTAATTATGTCGGGTGTATTGGGACCCCCAGTTCTCATATTGGTTATCATTGTTACTATTATTATATTTTTTATTTTCATTCGCATGTATGCTAGATTCAAGTGTATTCATACGTTGGCCTACTTGTTCTACTATTTGTATTAATCTACCAAAATTATCTTCATTTTTATTTTTCACTTCTTCGCTTCCTTCTATATTGTGTGTGTTCAGTTCATCAAAATCCATTTGCAA